TATGTACTTATAAGAATTTGAATATTTTGAATTTCTGTTGATGCTATGTTCATTGTACTGCAATGTTTTGAAAAAAATTGAATTTAAAATAGAAGGAAATTCTATTCATTGCTAATTAAGACATACGTTTTTCAAAGGTTATAGCAAAAGTGAGATATTTGTGAAATCACTGAATTTGTGAATAATTATGCAGCAGAAGAGTTGTTGATGTGTGATACATTACTGACATTTTCGTAATTTCAAGATTTCAATTCCATTGTAGTTTATACAGAGGTATTCTGTAACTTAGGGAAATAATGGTTTTTAAACCACTGTCTCATGACCCATACATTTTTATAAGTTTCCTAGCAGCGGTGTGTGGGCTTAAATTGGGAAACAGAACCATTCTTTGTTTGCATGGGTCTTGAGAAAATTAGTTTGATCGCGTTATAGTCTGTACTCTAGAGCTTTGAATATCATATGCAAATTATATTTTGTACAGCGTTATGATATAGTTAACTGTACATATTTTCTAGCTATGTATGTGCATATTCAGTAATTACATTTACATTCAGAATGCATATTTCTTCAATGTAGACATGTAGAGTACCAAGTCTTAAAAGTAAATAATATAGCCATACTGAGTTTCAGTGTTACATAACCTCTAAAGTTGACCGTTTGAACAGCCAGTCACCTAAACAGAATCTCCGTTTCTTCCACACAGTTTCTGATTAATAATTTAAATTCATTATTCTTTGTGTTTCAAACATTGATTAATTTACATGTAACTCTCTTTACGTCAAAGTTTTGTCGTCATTGTGTATTTTCTTTTGGTATTGCCACAGGGACGATTATGATATTTTTCTACGCTGTTTGCCCCAGCCCTTTTCGTCTACATTGTAGGTTTGCTCAGATTTGTTCATGATACCAAGTTTCTATAGGACATCCTTCAGTTTTTAAGAGATCTTGTACAATAAACCCACTTAATTTTGAGTTGGTGCTTAAGTTTGTCGCTGAGATTTCCATTTCATAGCGTTGGTAAGCATCGACCAGAATGAAACCAAAGTAACTTCAGCAGTTATAACATTATATTCCTTGAACAGTTTGCCCAATAGTGATTAAAATGCCAGAGCCTGTGGAAGGCACAAGTGGTATCCCCCCCCCCAGTTACTTTACTCAATTTATTTTCTTATTTTATGGTCTATTTCTCTATTTGATGCTTAGATTTGACATTTTTATAACTCTTGTATTAAATTTTTATACTTGTTATCTAGTTCGTACTTAAAATGTTTAAAAGTTTTGTTTTCATCATTGATTTTATTTTTGTGATGTGGCGTTATTTTTCTGTAATGAGAAAATTGATAAAATATGAAAAGGTTCGTGAGTTTCAAGAATGAATAAAATAAGATTATAACATTTTTTTTTGTATATTGTATGCATTCAGTTTCCCTTTCCAGCACATTTTTAACAGTATTACCAACTGTCTCAAGGTACAATATGTGGTGAGGCATGTTAGAAGGAGGGGTGCTTTGTGCCTTGGCCCATTTGCAAATCTTTTGCGAAATTATAGTTGCAAGTTTTTACCTTGCAAAAAATGTATAAAGGTAGTTGATTTGATAAGCTGCAGTTGGGTGCTTAGTACAGTAGGTTAATACGTACAGCCATAAGAAAAATTCTGCCCGAGGTACAAGGATTTCTCGTACACAGCAAACTGGATTTTGTTTCTGTTTCAAATATTATATTGCCACGTCTACAGATCGCTGTAAGTCTAACGTAATTTCCATGACGGGGACATTACGTGAACCCAGCAAGGCATGTTCCTGAGTGTCACGTTCGAATACCTAGCGCTCCGGGAGGTTCCGCGTTCAGAATTCGATACCGGGGACCAGTTACCCTGGCCGAGACTTACGTGTTTTTCTTCATTTCCTCCAGTAAATGCTGGAATTTTACCTTGTAAGCCACGAATAAATCAACAAGCCATGCTGCTATGTAATATTTTGATTGATGTCTTCTGGATTATGACGTTGTGTAATATAATGAGGTATGCAACTACGTACAACACAAAATTATAAAACTGATTACCAGTCCGAAAACTTTGTGTTCTTGGATTGCATGAAAGATAGAAATAAGTGTTTATGTCGATATAAATGATTGCGTTTGGCTCAGGGCTGGATCTTATGCCAGGCTTTCGTGATGAAATCTGGGAAGTGTGGGCAACCTTTCTACACCCGCGGTACACTAAATATTGTCGAAGAATCATGGCGGCACACAAACCCTATTTTGTATTGTGGGGGGAAGATGGTTTATGGCATTGATTGGCCGCGACAACTTCTTACAAGTCGACCCGAATCGAAAAATATTCTATTTGATGTTCATAATTATTCATCTTTATTACTATATCATTTACTTTAAATATATTTATTATTTGAAATAAATTGAAACATTTATACGAGGTGCGATCGGAAAGTTTCAAGACTGTGTCAATAGAGGGCGAACCGGATGTAGTACGAGCTTCTGCCGCTAGGGGGTGCGGCCTACATTCATAGTGAATCAGTGTGCCAGCCGGCATCATCGAATTAGCATTTGTTTCTTAGTTACGGGCG